AGCACAGACAAGAATATACGCACTTGTATCGTAATTTTTAAATAGTATCGTTACACGTATTATATCCAGCGCCTCCAGATAAGTAAAAAAATAAAATAACTGTGTGTGTATATTATATCGAAGCAGGAGTTGTCTATTTAAACTGTGTAAAATGCTGGTAAATTTGTTAGTTTGTTAATTCATCAATTAACTCCTAGTAAATTCCAGAACATCAGATATATTGTGTAGAATATGTGCTTTTGTAAAAGTCATAAAAATCGTACTTTTAGAGAAATTAAGTTATTTATGAAAAAGTGTGAATTTTTAATGGAAATTTATATTAAATTCAGAATCACGGTGGCCGTCTTCGTCGTTCGTAGCAACAGAGTTGCCAATGTTTGCTATCTAATAAAATATGATAAAATTACCGTACTATAGACAATATTACCGTTCTTATACCTAGATCATTGTTTAAATACTAAGTATTTACACAAACTATATTCTTGTCTGTACATTACGCCGTACTTCATACAATATACTATATGTATATATAATATTATATAGATAAAAATATAGATACATTATCATTATTTGCATTGATGATAAAAATTAGTGATATCTCAACAAAAACCCTTCGTAAACTACGTGTAAAAAAGGCTGAGTAAAAAAATTATAAGGTCTTTAACCACTATTAAGATGTGATATCACGAATAAATGCTAAGTATATTGATTTTAAGTAAGCTTATTGTGTTTTAATAATGTATTTATTGGTGAGGAATTATTTAGAATAGTATATAATATTGATAATAATATTTTTTAAATAATAAGAACTAATAAGTGATATTATAATAGTCCTTTGACATTTAATTATTTTGTTTATCACACTTTATCAGCATTCATTCATGATATCACATTTTTAATAGTGCTTAAATATCTTATATTTTTTTTTACTTAGAAATTATTACACGTAGTTTACGAAGGGTTTTTGTAGATTATATTACAAAAAATTAATAAAAGTGGTAATGCTGCAGTAAATAATATACAAAACCTTTCTTGTTAAATATTTATCGCTTCCGCGAGCTATCAATCACTAAATGGTTTAGTCTTAATCGATATTATGTTTTTTAGATTACCGAAAACGTGTCAATATATTATAAATATTATGTGCGGCATGACATGTGATTTGATGATTTTCCGAATATAAAAAAAATATTATTATCCTACCTGCATTTTATATTGTAGCAGTGAGGCCGACCTCTCAAATATTGTGCCTTAGCCCTTGAGTATAATTTATACAAAATACATATAAATTATAAACACTACAACAATGAGTGTTTGCATAGTGTTTATTTATTTCTTACATTTTATTTCTCGAGGAATTTGAAACTAAGTGATTTATTCTTTAGCGTAATGTATTTGCCATCGTTTTATGTCACAATTTTGTTATTTATTGAATATCGATTTTTGATTTTTGATCTGAAGCAGTATATTATAAAACTATTTATAAAACTACTTTGACTCATACATTATAACATGTATTTGTGGATATTAGTATATCTACACTGCATATAGTGATTTAAACATATTTTTCCAATTTAGAATCATAATTTTTCAATATAAATTGATGAGTTTATAAATTTTAGATTCTGAGTGGAGAGATGAATGTATTGATTTTACAACGATGTGTGTGTGTCTTTTTTTGTTTTTATTTTTATCTGTGTACACAATAAGTAGTCGAAATAATGGTTTGATTTTCAACTTCAGTATCTTTTCCGGTGAGAAAGTGAATCTAGTTAGTGCATTGAGGAGGTCAAAATTTAAAATTCCTATTAGTTAAGCGCCTGGAAAAAAAATTGGGTCACTGTATAATTGATGGTCTTCAATTTGAATTCAATGATATAATATCATTGTATAAGAAAAAGTGTGAGTGGAGACGGTATGTCAGTCTAGGTATAAGACATATTTTATACTTATCTATCTATATTTTATCATGTATAGAAAATGGAAATATAAACAACCAGTGAAAACTTCATGTACCTACTGTAATCTAAGAATTTTTACTGTCCTAAAACGTGATGACAGACACAAAAAAAATTTTAAAAATAACACACATAATCATTTCACTCAGAATTCAAAATTAAGAATCTAAAGTTGGTTTTCGACCAAAATCTATTATATTTTTTGGTTTAACTCTTAAAAAGTTTAGTTTAGATAATACTTTACCATATTATATACATGCAATTATCACTAAATGTTTATATTGGGAATTTCTATGCATCATACAATTTTCAAAATATTGATACTCGTTTTGAAATATTTATTGGCATAAGCAAATGTTTAGTTCTATTATTTTTATTTAAAATTAATATCGATAAAAAAATGTTTGACAACAATTCAGGCTGGGAAAATTACGTAATTTTATCCAGGCCACTCCAATTTTCATAATTTGTATTGACATTTTATTATATCTATTTATGTATTGAAATCTGTATATAATTGTATAAAAATAACAATTATTAAATATATAAATACATATTTAATTGATAGTTAAAACTATTGACACATTTTTAAAACTAGAATACACAGACCAAATAATATATTAATCTTAAATAGTTTTTATATAGGTAACATGTTTATATTATTTATTATGTTCTATTAAAATTTAAATGAATAAACAAACTTACATACAAACTACAAATAAAAAACTAAAAAACTAAAAATAAAAAAAAGTTAATCATAACTATATTTGCTTTACTTGTAATAATAATTTGTTTAACAGTTTACTTTTTTTTTCCAGAAATATAATATAAAAGAAAAGATATGATCAAATATATACTATGCACATTGCAAACCTATTTTTAGGAATTGAGGATGGGGTGCGCCCCCCAGTTTGTCATTGTTAAGTTGAATAAGTATCGGTTTCGATAATTCGATGTTCGGTATATAGACACACAATATTATCTGACAGTGAACGAGGGTAGGTAATTATTTTTCACATTTCTATTTTTATTTTTATTGAATGGTTATATTTTGTTATTCTTCGAAACATTTTTTTTTCACAAGAGGAAAAATTAATATACTCATATTTGTATTTTCTATACTTAATTTAATATTATGTGCTGCTATAGATCTTTCTCAAAATAATCCTAGTAATTCTACGCCTCAAAATTAGGCATCAGAAGTATATAATATGATCTTATGATGACCATTGATATCTTTCTTACGCAGAAATTTCTAACGCCAACCCAATACTTCGAGATTTGATATGATAGCCATATGCACAGCATGAATAATTAATAACGAATTAGTTATGATATCAGAGTACCTAACCCCATTTTATGAAAAAAAATTAAATCATCATGGTTCTCTGGGGAATAAAAATATAAGTGTACCAAAGTTACCCCGTGAAATCAAAAATACCCCATCCTACGGTACATAATATAAAATTATTAAGTCTTTTTTAATAGTTTTACTGCTTCAGGTAGCTGTTTTTTAGATCGATGTTCCATTTTTGATTGACGAGACAAAACTTTTCCTAAAAATATAATATAAAAAAAGAAAGATAAGCAAATTATCATTATATTAGTTACGAACCTACCTATATTTACTCTATACATTTATTTTTTATACAATGAATTATGATTTATTAATTTAATATTATATATTACTATACTAATTATAAAAAACTCATTCTATAAGGTTGCCTTGGATAATATTATTATTTCCAAAGTGCCATAGAGAACAGCGTATTTGAATTAGAGTACTGCTGGCAGTGGCGCATATAAGATATTAGAATATCCTACCTATTTACGCCACTGACAGCAAGTTTGATTGCAAGTGGAGATTAGATATACGTCTTCAGATATTATTTTAAAATAGTTATTGTATTTACAAATTAATTGAAATTTAAAATAAAACAAAAATTCCATTATGTAGACCTTACGTTCTAAATAGTTTTTACGATCGATTCATTACAAAATATAAATGACTAAAACCAACAGGCATTAATTTACCTTTTAACAGATTATTGGTCAATTTCGCAAACGGCTCATAAACAATCAAATATAAGACTATGGCCGCCATATAACACATGAATAAATCATAGAGATAAGCTTCAAACTGTAAAATAGTAAAATGAAAAATTATAGGTATTGAGTTTAGTATTAATAATAATTTTCAAAATTCTATTTCTAAACCATAAAATACGATTTTGAATATGACAAATTTTGAATTTTCATATGATTTTGTTATTTTTATTATGTTTATTTTATGCAACGAAATTAAAATCGAAGTCCAATGTGAACTGTGGAAAATTCTAATCTTTCTAACAGAATAAAATTAATCAACAAAAAGACACACGAGCAGGCCCTTTAATCGTTTACAGATTAGCCATGTTTGTGGGAGAGCGGAGTAGTAGTGTAGTGAGGTATAATAAATAGATATATATAGATTGAATTGTATTTTATGTTCAAGACAGGCTAAATCACAGGCTAATACTGTGGTTATACCTACACTGCAGTTATTGTCTCTTAGTATGTGTTCTTATGTACATGTAACCGTATAATATATTAGTGTCTTACATACCACATATCTTGACGACACATGAACGGGTAACCTCTGCGAACTCTGAGATGTTAACATAACAGTGAGGTTCACCAACACAATGGGGTATGAGAGTTTTCCTATGATTGAAACAAATCTACTGTGAAACAATTTTTCAAGTATACCTGTAAAAACATTTGGAGTTGTGATATATTAATACTGATAAAATACGATTGAGAACGGCATATATTTTACATTGACGCTCAATTTTTGTTCTCAAAATCGGAAAATTTAATTGAACAATAATTCGAGTACGATTATTAAGAAGCCTTGTCTGGGACATCTTAAAAGCACGATTTTACTCACCGTAGCCCGACGTGAAATAACTCATGGTAATCCATACAGCCAGTACTAAAAACGTACAATGACAGATGGTTGAGTGCAAGGCATGTTCCAATGGATAATAAGGTCTATTCCTCTCATAGAATACAGCGCCGTAAAACTGAAGCCAAAAAAAAAACCGTGCCAATGGCCAATGTTCCTCCGTGAACCACCGTCTGTATACACGACACACAAATAAACATCAATAGGTATCATAATATATAAGTAAAAACCAATACATTTGCCAATAAATGTTTGTAAAATATATGCTATCATTCTCCAGGCGCGTATACAGGGGGGAGACCCCTCCCCTCCGAAAATTAAAAGTTGTGTACTTTATTTCTATATACATTGATGATGACCCCCCCCCCCCCCCCCCGAATTTTTTTTTGTGTACGCACCTGCCATTCTATAGATATACAAATAATTACTTGTGAAAATTTCACTTTTTTTTCCTTCAGTCTTTCCACTACAAAGCTCATGGCTAAGCCTCCAAAGAATGGTGTGGCCCGCATGTAACTTGCTCGGTACGATTCGTTCAACAAAAAAAAATTTTTCGGGAACAATAGGCTTCTATAAACAATATGATAATTATATCCGGAGTATTATATTATACAGTTTTATAATTCAATAATAATGTAAGCTGTTGCTTAAAACCAAAGATTGTCGTTAAAAATTAGGTTTTACCATTTTTCGATATTTCGCATTATAAGATGCATCTGCTGCATTGTACGTGCGTAATTTATACTTATACTAGGTTGCTTAAACAATCACAAAACATTTAATGAATCAATACACAGTTTTCGACAAAACTAATTTTTCGATTCTGTATTGTAATTAAAAAGTAATAGTTGTAATCAGTATTTTAAAGACATGATACAATTTTCAAAATAATTTGCCTTTTTTAATCTATTTATATTTCATAGATTCATAGACCTGAGAGACATTATGCAATTTTTTTATTCGTTTTACCAAATTCTTGAAATTGTATTCAAGGTTCTTTATAAGGTGTTCTAAGTGTAATAAAAAAAATATCAAAAATACTAGTCTGTAACAATATTTTTTATAAGTGTTCAAATTTCCTGCATATAATTCTACTAAAGTTACTAAAATTTGTAAAATATTTGTTAAAATTACACAAGTTTTCTGTTCTTACTGTAACAAATTTTTTATTTTAATTAAGTATTTTGTTGTAATTAAAATCATATTTAGCCAATTAACTACAAAAATAATCTTCAAAAATATTTGTAGGTAAAGATAGGTATATTACTTGTAGTTATAATAATAATAATAATAATAATAATAATAATAGTAATATAATAACAACGCCGTTCAGTCGTTTCACTCATCATAGTGATACATATTATACATACAAATGTTGAGGTTCAAATGTATAAGTGGATAACGGATTCAGAATAATCGTTTGATCAGAATTGAGAACATATTAAATCAATCTCAGTTATCCGATGCACTACTTGTGCGTCATTGGAGCAACTAGGGGGTGCTTTGGGTCCTTAGCACCCCCTTAAAAATCGTTACGTGTTAGGTCTCATTGAATCACAAAAAAACCTGGAGCTAAGCACCCCCTAGTTCAAATGTCTAGTTGCGCCAATTCTATGGGTCCAAATTATCTTTCAATTACTAAAATACTTAACATACGGTAAAGGAAACTTATCAATTCCATCTCTTCTCGTCCAAAGCGTGATTATGAACGGCAGGGATATCGACAAACCAATTATTGTGCCAAGCAATGCAATTCCATATTTTGTGTTTTTCGTGTAAACATAAACGACAATAACTCCAATTATGAAAAACTGGATATCACACGATAAGTACCAGCTCATAAAGAGGCACTGGAACAAAAATAAATAGAGATTAATTTATACAATTATGTGTAATGCCAGTCAGTAATCGACAAATATTGGTATCAACACAAAATTGGTACCCGTAGTCCGCGGTTCTTAATACCATGACAAATTAGATATAGGTATATCGTCACAGTATTCTGATACAAATACTCAGCTCTTTACTTAGCCATTATCGTAGTTCTAAACTTCTTATTGGCTATCAAATATCAATCATACATAAAACAAAATCAACCAAAAAGAAGTGAAGAACCACGACATGCCTACAACTATGATGATACATTGATACCTATCTAATTTGTCATGCTGAATGATATATAATAATATAAAACGTTTCTTGTATAAATATGAATTTTAGTGTATTAATGAATAATTGTAGATTAAAAATTAAAATACATCGTATATTACATTATTACCTGATGGTTGACATCAACGAAATTACTTATGAACAACAGGTTGGTCCACCAATAGTTCTTACATTTCTCGGCTTCTTCCCACGACCTAAGTGGCCACAGCGGACCGTCTCCGATGTGGGGTACAAAATGCGCCGTGATTGCCATCATCGCACAGTAAGCCGGTAATAATCTAAAACGCAATTAGAACTGAATAAAAGACATATTAATATTGTGTTATCGATGGGGTATTTATTATTCATGTTAAATATAATATCAAATATAACACGTATGCTGATTCTTATAACATATTTATAATAGTTAAAATTGACGGAAATCGTTTGCTTAAAATATAAAAAGCGTTTATATTATTATACCTTATTATTCGCTCGATTATTGGAATCGAGAGTGCCTTCCAAACCGATTCATCCTTTTTTTTTTGAAATTCTCTAGAAAGGCTTGTGTGAATGATGTAACCACTTATGTAAAAAAATGGGTCAACGATGTTCAAACCAGTCACAATAATAGCTGGCCCGTTGAGGTATATCTGTGATTGTTAACATAATTTAATAAATTATAATATACATTTATTTAAACAGGATAAAATTGTATTCTTACTAATTTTAATTAAATGAACCTATGTAAAATATTAAATTGAACAAGGCGCATAAAACAACGTAATCTCACACAGTCACACTTGACAGTATCTACTCCTATAGCATTGGTAAAATAAAGCCTGGGCGTAATATGAATATAATATTATATATTGATAGTTATAAATAATAAGGGTAAGTAAAGAAAAATTAATTTCGTACGCCTTTGTGTTCAACTTATTGTTCTTACTTTCTACATCCTAGTACCTAAAATATCGCATATTATATCTGATATAGTTACTATAATTTAGTCAATATAGTAGCCATGTTTTAAAATTAATATAATTAAAATGATTATAATTAAAATACAGTAAATATTGTATTATAGTTCACATAATATGATAAAATATTTTCTATAGTTTGCCTACAGTGTTTTGTTTCCATTTCCTCATCATATTATTTAAATTAGTCTCTATAATTATACTCTATAATATCCTCTATGCCATAGTTTGTATGGTATTATATTATAATATTCATAAATATATTTCTCAACTTACATTTTCCATGAACTTTGGATTACTTATAGGATTCGAAAACAAAGCAAACAATTTATGTCCATACAGAATAAAAACCATCGTCATTACTTTGAGCGTAGAAAAAAAATTAATTTTATCGTGTTTGTTGAATTTCAATAATGTTTTGATTGACTCAATAAATGAAAACTCGTAGAGAAATGTACTAGGCACTTCACCTAAATGTGGAGTTATAATTGTTAAATAATATGTTAAACATGGATGTAATTTTAATTTTTTACACATTAAAAATAATAAAATGTCAGTATAATATGTTTAGATAGGTACAAGTATAAAGTATTCGTTTAATTCTCACCGTTTTCGTTTGTGTTTTGTTGGTATGATATTCTTATAAGATGGTGTAACGTCGCACAGCAACAGATCAGAACGAGCAGAAAAAATATCCACCTAAAAAATAAAATTGTATAATTATAATTTATGATATTATAAAGATTAATATAATATATTGTTAAATATTTTATTTATAAGAAGTATTTTCAAAAACGTATACCAATGTCCTATATATAAATAATATGCTGATGAAAAGCATGTCTAATAAAATTGTTTTCGACTGAGATATGAGATTAGGACAAACATTTTTCGGATTTTTATGCGCTCCCTATGTATATCTATATCGTTGGGAAATTTAAAAATCAGTGTGCATAATTTATAATGCCTGATAATAATGAATTATAGATACGCTGTAATAGTTCTGTTGTACAATTGTAATTATGGCGAAATAATAATTACATTACTTACCAAGTTACGTAATACGGCGTGTCGTAGGGATACATATCTTCGCGGACCCTGCACATTATCGGGTCTACCCTGACGACCGTTTTGAACTGTTCAGGGGAAAACGCCTCGTCAAATTCTCTTTGTAGGGATGTCTGTAAGTCTAACGCTGAACACCCGTCCGGTATGCAAATTCCCCAATGAAAATGGTTTCGTGGCACCTGGTCCTGGTAATCGGCCCACTGAAACGACATAACATATATTATATTTATTAGATTATATATAAAAGTCTAAAATATTTATAGTTACTGCTTACTGAACTATAAGATTTGACTAAGATAGGTATAGGTATCTTAAAATCATGTTTATACGTTAATCATATTATCATATTATTATAATATATTATAGGTATATATATTATATAGGTATACCAGATACCTATATTATAGGTACATATTGTCTACAACAACTACTGTAGGTTAGGTAACCTAACCATTATTTGTTTACAGTTATAAGAGTGAGCTGCAGAAGAAAGAATAGCGTATACCCAGGACGCATTTGGACCAGAATAATGTTTAGTTGTAATTTCAAAAATTGGAAGTATCAAAATCGTCAATCACTATTTTATGTGTGACCCACCTAGTAAATTGTAATAAAAATCTGGACAAAAAAAGAGTGATAATAAATAACGATTATTTGTATATAATAGGTAGATAAGTCGTAATTCACCCCAAGTATGGTTTTCCAGGCATGGTTGTTACCGAAATCGTCTAAATCTTCCGTTCTTTTGAAACTGTAATCTCTTCCTGCAGGTGGAATTACTTTTATTTCAGACAGACAATACTGTCCTTTCAATGGATAACGTATGTCCACACATTCGTCATAAACTCCCATTTGATATGTGTTCCCCGAAAGTAAACCGACTGGATATCGGTCCCAAGATTCTAGCACTGAAAAATAATAGGTTTTTATTATAGTAGACACATTAAGATTATAACTTATAATTAAATAAAAGTTATTTCATAACATTTTTACCTATAAAATATCTATAAAATATATGCCTATAATAATTTGTAAGTGGTTAAAAATGTATTAATTAATAAATTTCCTTTTTTTTTCGCATATTTTGTTGTTTTATTGCATATTTAGCGATATTTAAGGAAATATAATAGCGCATATTTATGCAATTTTAAGTGCTATAAAATTCCAACCATGGTAATTGTTATCTGCGATTTATACATTATAATTAATAGTATATGATAATAATTATGTTGTATGATTAATGACAATAGCAGTGAATTTATATAGGATCTTTAAAATTAATATGTCCGATTTTTATGATGTAAAACAATTTTAAATGTATTTAAAAACGTTCATTTTAATAAAATTATGTAGAAGTTATAAAAGACGGAAATAATTTGCAAATAAATATACCTAATATAATATTATAATAATCACTTACTTCTGACGGCCCAACTAGTGTGATTGCTCAAATGTTCCTCGTACAAGGCGGATTGGCGGCGGCAAGCGGGGCCGTCCGCCCGCCTCAAAGTGAAGTTGTTTAGAGCCCGGTAAAACAGATCGGACAACCAAAGACCGGGTATTTGGTCAGTGGCGGCATCCCGCTGCAAAATATGGTCACTGAAGTCAGCTCCCGCGCCTTCAGCTGACTGCAACAAAACGCTCAGTAACACCGACGCAAACAAAGCAATCGTCAGTAGTGCTCGTGACATAATAATATAATGGATTTGTTTTGTATACTATTATATTATTATTATTGTCTTCGTTAAAGTAATATTTTTGTACGGAAAAACAAAACACTCTACGGAATTATCTGGGAAAAAATTCAAATTTATATTTTACAAACAATTATATTTAATATTATGACTACACGTCATAGTACGTTTTTCAGAAGTTTAGTTATTATTGAGAACGTGACACCACAGGTGGTTGTTAATAATCGGAGAACAGATCGCTCGGGGTTGATGTTCACAGTATAATATGAGTAAAATACATTTAAACTGTGTATCTATATTATTCAAAGTTATGCAAAATATTTATAATCACCTTGTATATTATTACCACAATCGCTGAATAATAATTGTTTAATTGTGTAATCTCTTACCTATATTATGGTATTATGGTAATTTTTAATATAAATGTTCTTTATGAGTATTTTACATCAGATTTACCGACCTAACCTTTGGTAATATCAACGAGTAATTTATATTCGCAAATTCTAATAGGTTAGGTAACTGTAAAATAAATTATAATTTCAATCGATTAAATACGATGTGTTTTTTTGAGTTGACTTTCCTTCTATGTTATATGTATAATATTGTAGGTAGCTATTATGTATAACGATTATAATACTGCAGTCTTAATCCACCACCGATATTAACGTTCATAATATTTAGCGAAAGACACGTGTACATGTGAACTCATTTTTACATCCAGTGACGTATCCAGGATCATGTGTTCGGGACTTGACTTGTTTCAGTCAAAATGGTCAAAACATTATGCTTAAATATATGCAGTTACATTTTTATATTATTTTTCACATAATAATTATAACGTTATTCATTATTACTTATTTATTAACAAAGCATTTTATTGCAGTATTTTTCAAAATTGAGTTGTTTTATTTCACAATAGCTTAAACATGTCCAAAACATGCAATAGTGTCCTCTGTCATTTGGGTAGTAAAAAACTAAATATAAGTATGCATATAAACATGATAAAAATAATTTATACACGGGCTTACTAATTCGAATATAGGTATTTACCTATATTGTTTAATTAATTAAATGACAGAGGAAACTATATTGCATGTTTTGGACATGTTTAAGCTATTGTGAAATAAAACAACTCAATTTTTAAAAATACTGCCATAAAATACTTTGTTAATAAATAAGTAATAACGAATAACGCGTTATATGCGATCACCGTGATAAACGAACACGTATCTACTAATTTTCATTTCTTCATACAATCTAGAATTTATATGTCAATATAGTTTTAACACAGTTTTGTCACAAAGAGACTTATAAAATCTTACGTATCATAAACCGTACCATACTGAAAATAATTCTAAATGTAGCTAAGCTCCTCCAACAACTCTAACAGCCCTCTCAAACATTTACTAATTTTTTTTAAGCTTATTCCATTTTAATACATTCCAACATAATATTTTTTTAAGATATTTTTATTGTTATCCAAATATGATTTTTCCCGTCAATTGAATGTAGGTACATTTATGAATTAAAAAATTCAAAATGTGCATAAATATGCTAAAAACTGCTCAAATGTGCACTTTTCCTACAATATGACAAAATATACAAAAATATGCAAATTAAAACTTAGTATTTATTTTTGCCATTTCATAAAAGTATAAAACGATTGTATAACTTATCTAAAATAAAACACTACGGTAAAACATGCAAGCAGTTCCGAAACTTGACGCGGCCCGCGTTAGTAGCAAGTACAATGTACAAGCACTATTATAGCGACCAGTCTATCTTATCTCCAACCACCACCACGGGATGCAAGCAGCGTGACCGGGTTGACTTTCCCACCGAGCCGGTAATGGCAAGGGGGGACGGGGGGGACTGTGTCGCTTAAGGGCCCGTTTTACAATCATAGTTTAAACCTCGGTTACGCTTGAACCACTGATTTTACCGGCCGAATTCGGTGGTTTAACCGGAGTTCAACTATTGTAATACGGGCCCTAAGACGTACAACGGTCGGCGTGTTTCCCGATCCTAGTACGTTTCAGCGCGGGGGGCGGAGCCAAGACCTTTCTGCATGATGTATATATGTTTTTACCGATCCTAATCTGATTCAGAGCGATGCGCTGAACCCACATAGGGTTCGTAATTTTAATACAAACACTTAAAACAAAATATATCATATTACATTTTAACATAGTACATTGTTTTACTATCGATATTTATTCAAAAAAATTAACAATAACTACATATTTCTGTTTTTATTACTGTGTTCGTCACATTATATTATAGTCATAATATAAGTATTACTAATAACAATATTATAAGTTAAATATTTTTAATCAGGCTGAGCGTCATGGTATAAAATTTTCATTAACCTATTATTATAAAATGTGTCAATAAATAATAAAAAAATAAATAATAATAATAATAATATAAGTAAAATATTTTAATCAGGCTGTGTTACATAATGCAGTGTTCTGTGTTATTGTATAAAAATGTAATGCTAGTGATGTGTTGCATTGAGTTTGTTTGCTTGTATATTTGCTCCTAAATTTCTTTTGTCTTTTTTTTTTTTTTAATTGAATTGTTTCGGCTTTGGTGGCGCCCTGCTTGAATAAGTTTAGATCTTTTAGTGAGTCCAGCTCTATCTTTACGACGTGCGATTGCAGTTGGTTGTACACTTATATTTTTATCCATTCATCATGTAAAGTGTAAATTTGACGTGTCCTGGGATTTATTTGTGAATTAGCTAGGGTTATTGTCTATTGATATTAATATTGAGTTGAAGGAAACATTATGAGATAACTTAACAATACGATTTATATTAGGTAATTCCACAGCGTAATATAACAACACTGTATGTAACACGTATACATATACATTATAATATAGGTACATTATATTAAATAGGTATATAGTCATGTACGATGTACCTAACCACAACGCTCAGCCTGATTAAAAATATTTAACTGATATTGTTACTAGTAATACTTATATTATGACTATAATATAATGTGACGAACACAGTAGTCAGTAATAAAAACAGAAATATGTATTTATTGTTAATTTTTTAAAAATTACGAACCCTATGTGGGTTCAGCGCAGCGCGCTGAATCAGATTAGGATCGGTAAAAACATATATACATCATGCAGAAAGGTCTTGGCTCCGCCCCCCGCGCTGAAACGTACTAGGATCGGGAAATACGCCAACGGTCGGCGGAAAAGGCGTTTCGAGGATCCACCATCGGACCGTCGGACCGAATACCGATAGCATATCGTCCGACGTTAAACTCATCTGCCCTAGTGGCACGTCATGTATTCTTATATTTTGGTCACAATATTATAATACATAATTTGTGACATTCTTAAAGTGTTTGTGTTGTGTTTTTTCATCACCTCAATCCTAATCAAACAATTCGACCGCACCGCGATCAACCTTGAAACAATCATCGTGTCCGCGTCAAACTTATAAACAATACATTTATTAGGGATTGGGGGAATGTCAATGGAAGGGGTTTAAACACCCCCCCCCCCCACTGATTACATCAAATAATATTCAATCAAAGTTGTAACAAGTTTGTCACTGAACTCCTCCTAAACGGTTGGACTAATTGTGAATGCCGAGTCTGTCGACCAATATTTCCTCCTCATCCACGAAGACGTGGCATTGTTTTATGTACCTACTTACATAACTTATAATATGTGAGTATAATACGCTAAATATTTACGTAATTGCAATACATTTAATGTCAAAACACAGCGTACAAAAAAATTAAATGCATTGAATGAATACAATGGCAACCAATAATTATTATTATAATAATAGCTTTAAAACCCATTTATAAACAAAAATGTCCACCGTAAATCTCTAAATCCCCGTTTGAGCACGTACCCTGGTTGGACCTAGGGGGGTGATTTGTAGCCTATGTGTTATTCTGGTGTATAATCTATATTATTGTAAAGTTTTATTAAAATCCATTCAGTCGTTTCGCGATAAAGAGTAACAAACTTTCGAGTTTATAATATTAGTAGGACTTACGATGATATAATAAACGTCTACGGGAATACATTTTACGCGTGCTAAAAGCTTTCATAGGATGATAAATCGTCCTGCAGCCATCTTACAGCAATATAATATAATATAATAGGTATAATTTATACATGCGACGGCGATGCGGTCAGACACGCGTGCATATTATTACTATTATTACTGTTAGGTATAAATGTTATAATTACATCGTGCATGCACTATATACCCTGTATAACAGTGCAGTGTAGCCTACACTGTGTAGGTACTATGTACATATTGTAAACATTATGTAGTTATTATTACAACATTATAGCTATAGGTACCTAAACCAAGTAAATACAAAAAAATTTAGTCACGCGCGTCGGTGTAATTCGTTTAAAGCATTTTTTTCCCGTACACACACACATCCGCATTTACACGCAAAAACGTGTTATTATCCAAGGGAGCTGAACTTAAATTATGGATTCTTTTTAGGCTTTTGACACGATACAAACGGGCGGGATCGGAAGCGGTGATTATCTGTTTTTGTCTAACATACGCGCCACATAGAATTAAGATATTGTGTTCTATTGTCAACGGCCGTTCTTGTGAAACGATAAGCATACCCTTTGAATTTATAGTTATCATACTTAATTTATGATTTGTTCGACTTTCTCGAATTTTTAATTTTAAATTGATTCGAAACTTTTTAATCTAAATTTCTAGGGGTTTAGGTGGACAAAATCAAAAACTTCAGAAAATCAATCCCGAAGTAGACATAACGACAATAAAAGTTTGTATTTACAAATTTTCAGAATTCTCATCATTTCACAGCGGTAAATCACTCACAAATTTTAGATACCTACTAAGGTGTTACTTGCTTAATATGTATACAATATGAATCCCGGAAAAAAAATCCCCCGACGAACAACGCCGGAAAAAAAATCCCCAGACTACAATATTACTCACAACCTCATGCAAATGGTTGAACAAA